AAAAAAAAAAAAAAAAAAAAAAAAAAAAAAAAAAAAAAAAAACAAAACAAAACAAAACAAACAAACAAACAGCACCTGCTGAACTGGGTCCAGCGTCCCTTCTACATTACATTGCAATAAAGACCACTGGGAGGTTCACCCAGCTTCGCTTATGCTTATCATTATAGTACCTCCTATGCAGCTCGGCCTCTCTGCTGCTTGGCTGGCAACACTTGACGATGATGAACTATCCCGACTGAGGAGAATGCGGGAATAATTATTGACTGTTAGACCAACAAAAGCAGATCATAATTCCAGAGTTAATTCAGGCCTCTCCTTTGCCTAAGATTCGGCCGACCGGCTGGGATTAGGCTAACGAGGGCCGTTGGCGGAACCCTACCTTGCCTAACCAATAAACCCTAAACCCTAAGCACCGGTAAAGAGTTGCCTCCTGGACCACCGGTCCACCACCTGTCAGTGACCTCTCATTCGTTGCCGGCCATGTCCACTTGAGCATATTGCCCTCCACTGTCACCAGCTTCCCGTGCCCTAGCACGTTCTGGAGAATGGCTTCTCTCCTCTGTTTGGCTGTATCAAGAGATTGTGCCATTCTGCATGGTACCCTTTTTCTCTCTCTCTCTCTTTTTCTTTTTTCTTTTTTTCGTAAAGTCCAGGGTGTTGTAGAGGCCAGTTGCTAGGCTCACATTGATCGCCGGAAGTGGTCAGCTATAGTTGCCCTGAAGCGACGAGACTACCTCCATCATTCCAACTGCTAGTGGGAGTGATGTGTGCACCCCCCCATAGGAGCCTGGTCCGGTGCTCCACTCTATTGGTGGGGAGCCGCACCTGCTGGAAACCGCGTCCAGCGTCCCATTGCTACAATGTATGTAATTTATGAAATACATCTGAGAAAAGACATGCTACTGTTGGGTACTGCCTCCTACCGGTAACCGGGACCGTCCCAACCACTTAATCAGGGTGGTGGATCCCCTGCCCATCCCCCGCTGGTCTTGGATATCTCTTTGTGAGTGGCAGAGTGCCAGGGGACAGAGGGGGCACTGGAGGGCACCAGCGAATCCCTCTGTCCCCTTGCCCTGCTATACTCGTACTGTGTGTCGACTAGTCTTCACGCTGTAGAACTTCCACCAAGCAGAGAGAATGAGGCAGAAACAGGTCTGGAAAATGAGATGCTGGACGCAAGGCGATGCTGGGGTCAACCGATATCCAATCCTTGAAACGCAAAGGATAATCCCTGTGAGGTCTCTCCCTCTGATTCTGTTGATTCTGTTGATTCTGTTGATTCTATTGATTCTGTTGATTCTGTTGATTGTCCACCCTGTCCCCCTCCAACCACCTCAGCAACCCACCCTCCCCTGCTGGCCCCCAACCAATCCCAACTAAATTGCGTTATTCGTGTGGCAATGTCCTGCTGGGTGTTGAGCGTGTCCAGCGTCTGCTTCACTGTCTGCCATTTCCACTCTAGTGCTGTTTGCAGATGCCGCTTAACCTGCTCCACCGCCTCCTCCCGCTCCACTCTGACTCCTTCCATCGCCAGGACACATCGTTGCCACCACAGAGCTCACATAATTAATTGCCCTCCTCTCCACCCCATACATTTTCGCCGTGAGGGTTTCCTTGAGCACGGCAGGTGCATAGCCTACCCGTTTCCGTTGCGCCAAAATGTCTTCTGTATAGGGGTATAATAAGCCTCTGAGCTCTTACTTGACCTAACACAGCTGCTGCATAGGGGTATAACTGTCATTGTCAATCATTATGGTTGCCTGACATCTGTTTTTCCATACTAACCACAGCCCGTATTGGCAGAGCTTCTGGTAGCATCTCTCCTCCAACTTCATCCAAGTTCTTGGAGTATGAGTTCCCATCAGCCGGGTAAACAGGGGGGACTATCATCTGATTTTTTATGAATGGACTGTTATGGATCCTGCTAATCCCCTTCGCCCGCTATCAGATTTCCCAGACCCCTTTCCTTTACCTTCCAACTGTTTGGTTCCCTTGAGTTGGTTTGGTAAAGATTAGGAAATGTGGCCATACTTTTCGTTCATCATCAGTTGGAAAATAGCTACTAGAATCCAAAGCAAGATCAGGCGCCCCAAGAGGGGTGAATAGGTAGCAGTATCAAAGACTTTTTTTTCAGGGACGCTGATCCCAGTTTCCAGCAGGCACTATGATTGTTGTAATTATCAGGGACGCTGGACCCGGTTTCCAGCAGGTGTTACTCCCCACCAATAGACTGGAGTCACAGGCTGCGCTGTTAGGGGAGTATGCTCTTACCAGCTTCCCTAGCAGAGTTAGCAAGTGTTTCTTAATAGGGAAAGTGGACGTTTTACCAAACTGAAGTTCCGGAGGTCGGGCCCGACGACGGCTGCCATTGATAAATCTGATCGGCGGCCGTCGTTTCGTTTCGGCCTCCGAA